ATAATAATAATAATAATAATAATAATAATAATAATAATAATAATAATTCTCATTGTTGATTTTGATTTATCTAGTATCTTCTTGCATGTATTCTTCTTTGGAATTTGTGCTATTCCTTTTCCTTTTCCCATTAGGATGTATACTACTAGGGCAGTGATGGCTAACCTTTTCCACGTTGCGTGCCAAAAGTGCACCTGTGTGCACTCGCACTTGCGTGCCTCCACATATGATGCGACTCCCCCGCCCCTGTGCATGCGCAAGTGACCCCCTGCGCATGCACCGCACACCTCTGTGCATGCACACATGACCCACTGCACCACACGCCTCTGCATATGCGCACACAACCCCCCTGCATGCTGCATGCCTCTGTGCATATGCACACATCTCCCACAAGCGTGTCTCCCCCCGCACATGTGCAGCAGATACTCGACAATCAGCTGGCTGGCAGGGGGCACGTGCACATGTGCAGTGGGGGTCTTCCAGGTGAACTCTTGCATGCTGGCAGAAGTGGCTCTGCATGATGCTTATTGTGTGCTATAGGTTCTCCATCATGGTACTAGGGTTTCCAGCTGGCTGGGGAATTCTGAGACTTGAAGTTCCCACATCTTAAAATTGCTATTGAGAAAAACTATGCTAAAGAACAACCCTCTGTAAGAAGATTTCAGATGCTGCTAAAGTTCACAGAAACACTGGAGGTAGGATGTGTCAATTTTTTTTTGTTTTATAGAAGCTTTTTCCTTTACCGAAGTCAGTCTTAATTTAACCAGCTGCCAATCATCCACTTATTTTCAATAAAATGTGAACATAAGATGTAGAAGTAAAAGTAGTAAAAATATTACCAGACACTGGAGGAAAAACCTGTATCATATTTCGTATGCAGAAAAGTGGCTATCATTACAATCAGCCAAGTAATTAAACCATATTTATGCTTTATTTATCTAGTTACATTCCATATTATGAAAGATAATAAACTGAATACCATGTGAAATAGCCTCATCAAATCCACAGAGGAAAGTGGGATGAAATTGCAATATTCCTTGATGGCTCAAATTTTCTTAATAATATCTGGTTTCTTGAATGTTGTGGAATTATGAAAACATGGACTGATATTATTTTAACTGGCTGAATCCTGAAAATAATTATGTATCATTATATCATAGGACTTAAGCACACAAAGAAACACATACTCAAAGAAGAACATTATTGTTTCAAACTGCAAATGATGATTTGGTGAACTCCATTGGTGCCTGAAATAAACTTTTGGCTGTAGTCCGAAGCATGCTTACCCATACAAAGGGCTAATTAGCCTCAAAGGGGCATGTAATCAAAGGGAATTATGCCTAAATTTGCAGGTGGTTTGGTTTGAAGAAGAAAAGCATGGCTATTAAGAATGTATACATAAATGGGAGGGCCAGAAAGTAACCTAACATAGGAATTTCAAGGTAGAAATAAATGTGAAATTCAAGAGAATTTGGGGATTGATCACATTGGTTCTGCATACAGTATAGTAAAACTAAAAAAGGACCAGTTTAATGGTG